ACAAAAAAACAAAAAAAAAAAAAAAAAAAAAAAAAAAAAGGAGTTAAAGTTCAGGGTAGGGCTCGACATGGTTCGGTTTTAACGAAAATCGAACCGAACTCGAAATTTTCGGGTCTTTAGTAAGTGGAACCGTCGGTTCCAAATTTAACCATGGAACCGTTCGGGTTTGGCTCCCAGATTCCGTATTATAATTAAATTTTTTAATATTAACAAAAGCTACATTAATTCAACTAATGATATGTTTAATCTTAGCTCTTACAAAATAACGTAGTCCAATTTTATGTGTCTTTTGCATCTCTTTTTGCTAAGTTCTTCATAGATTTGTTTGTTAAAATAATAGGAAGAGGAAGATAGCGAACACGCAATAATTAAGAGAGGTGTTGTTGAGTTTCAATTCGATTTTTCCAAAACGGTATAAACAACACTACGATAGAGTAATGGATTTAGATAAAATTTATATCAATTTGATTAAGTTGTCTTTGAACTGAAAATTAAAAATAGGAAAAATCATATTTTTGGATTTGAACTAAATTAACTAGTTAGCAAATTTATTTAGAAAAAAATAATTTGACTAATTTAAAATAAATTAATTAAAAAAATTAGGGAGATTCGATTCTTGATCTAGAACCAAGAACCGAACCAAGCCCGTCAGTTCTCGATTCAAACACCCGTTCGGGTATTCAACTTATGAAGAACCGTTCGATTTAGTTCAGATTCGGTTCGATCGATTTGGTTTGAAAGTTCTGTCCAGCCTAGTTCAAGGGGAAGATTAAAGTAAAAATTCTCTCTTCATAATTGCATAAAAGAAGTTAAGCCCTTGTTTGAGTCCATTTTTTTACCCAAAAAAAAAAAAAAAAGGATGCATTCTTAAACAGTATTCTTTAATAAAATAATATTACATGTAAATCCAAAAAATTTCTTATTTTTTAACCACACATTTCTCATCAATACACTATTCAAAAATGTATTTTCTCCTCTAGAATGGAGCTCAAATAAGGGCTAAATAGTGATTGCCTTTCTACCCAGTCTCAATAAATTAAGCCCTCCTAATAATATAATACCTTGATGAGTTTAATTACATTAGTATTTCATTTTCATAGATCGAAAGGTAAAACATGATCTTAATACTATTTAGATTTTTAAATTCTCGTAGAAAGAGAGATCATCGTCATCATCTCTTACACAAGAGGATTAAACAAACCAACCATTAACCCCCGTTTGGCCCCATTCTCCTTCTCCTTCTCTCTTATTTTTAACCACACAGTTTTTCATAAAATAATATGACACATAAATCAAAAACTTTTCATTCTTTTTCAATCACACATTTTTCAAAAATACACTTCCAACCATTAAAATTAGGAAAGAATGGGAGCCAAACGGGGCTTAACCTAATTGAAGATGGTCCAACAGGTTTTTGAAACCAAATAATGTTGATGTCAATGAGAGAAAACTAAAGCTAAACAAATTTAACAAATCTCACTTGAGGAATATATAAAAGCAAATACAGAATTTTAAGAATCAGAATATTTGAGCAGCTGGATTCACGAACATAGTTGCATAAAACCATCAAACGATGACAAGATACCAATCCATCTAATCTTTGACAGCAAAAACTATATTCCAATAAACTCAATTACATCCTTAGGATAGGCTCAAATCAAATTTCTACCATGATCTCAACACAGACAGAAGTGAAAGCATTTAGCTACTTAAAATTGCTTCACGGTGATGCTTTTGGTATAGCCTGTGAATGACTAATAAGAATTGAAACAACCTCAACCTTCTCACTTCCTTTAAGCATAGCAATTACGGTCAACCTCCTGCCCCCAGCGCACATCTCCAAGTAGTAAAAGGGAGGGTTGAGAAATACAACTTTACTTGAAGCTGCCGCGTCAAGAGTTCGAATCCTGAAATATGGATTTGGCTCTTGGGTAAGTGCAAATGTACAAATAGCCTTCCATCTTTACCCTTAGAGGCATAACCTGTGATTTACCTCTCTCACGACACTCCAGTACAGGGGCGGTGGGAGACCCTCAAGGTTGGGTTCAACCTTTAATTACGGTCAACCTCCTATCGTACAGAATTAAGGCAATGAATGTAGTCCTAACAAAAAGAAACTGATCAATTAACTAGTAGAGAAGCATCAGTATATGTTATGATAATTACTACTCCAGTATAAGAAATAATTACAAGTGGGTTCCCATTTTCCCATGGAAGAAGTCTCTATACACACTTCTTGACATCTGAAATTAAAACATTTCTTCCATCCTTCAGCAATGGCATGCATATAAAAAGAAAGAAAGAGATGCACTTAGAAATAATGCAAAAAGTCTCTGTTAACAAAAACTGATATTTGCCTTACATCATCATTATCTTCAATTATTTAAATTCCCAATACTTTGATAAAAATTAAACACACAATCGATTGATATAAACAACAAAACCCAATTCACATTTAGTGGGCGAAATCTCCTCTCTCTTTGACTAGACATTAAAAAGGGGAAATATTTGGTTAGGGTTACAAGAAAAGCTAGAGGGACTCTTGAAAAGCCTCCTCATTCTTCTTCTTATTCAGCTCTTCTTCGTACCTCTTCAATCTCTCATCCCACATCTCCTGCATCCACATAAACAAATATTAGCGAAACCAGAGTAGATTACAGGGAGGAAAAAAATGGCAATTTGGAAATAGAGGAATCGGACCTTGTACTTGAGTTCAGCGCGGTGCATAAGATAAAAGCCAAGAATCCCACCAACTATAGTACCCGTAATAATCCTGAAATAACCCCATCTTGGTGACCTCATCTCTCCCTTCGCACTCGATTCTGTATCCCTTCTCTGCTAGGTGTAAATCACTCAAACAGGCTGAAAGTGTGAGTTAGCGTTCGTTTGATAACTGTGGGCCTTTGCCCCTCTCTAGACCTTGTCAATCATCAGCCGCGCTTTTGTTTTGGGCCAAATGAATTTTCGCAATATATATGGATCCTATTTTATGTTGGGAACCCTACACATTTAAAGTGGTTCGAAGATACAGTTCCAAAAAAATAAAAAATAAAAATCAGGTCATAATTATATTTTAATAATTAAAAATATTTTATTAATTAAAATATGTTAAGGTCTCGATATTATACTATTTATAGTCACATTTATTTATCAGTCACAATCAAAAAATGTCGATCATATATTCCACCTATTTTATTAGTCTCATTTATCGATTACAAATTATCAAATTGATTGATTACATATTATTTCTAAATCACAAATCACAAATTTTATAAGTCACAAATTATTTATCGATCATAAATTATCCAATTAAAAGTCACATATTGTTTCTAGGATTATGTTACTTGTTCATACAAATTGTACATAAGAGATTATATAAAAATGATGTGGAGAGAAAAGTTGGATGAACAAGTTGATTGGGTTTTAAACTGATAAATGAAAAGTGACTTGTAGCATTATATAATCTATTATATAAAACTTGATGTATATGTAGCAAAGTTCTTATTTCTATGTCACAAATTTATAAGCCATAACTTACTTCACAATCATAAATTATCAAATTAATTTGTCACAACGTAACAAATTGCAGTTATAACTAGAAATTTAGTCGCAATATCACTTTTTAGGTCACATATTATCTATTGGTCACAAATTATCTATTTTATCGATCACATGTTGATCACAGATTAATCAATTTATTAGTCACAATTACCAAAAATTCCATCCCCATTCCATCATCGACACCAATCAAACGTTTTTCCACCCCACCACCACTAACAGTACTATCACCATTTGTGACCACCACCACCTTATCATAACAGCCATCACCAAACACAACTCCAGCATCATCACAACCAGAACAACTACTCTCATTTGCAAAACACCAACGACCACCAACAAAAATTAACCCAAACTTTGACTACATAGCAAATCAGATTAGATCAGACAAACCACCCAAGCAAATTGGATTAGAAAACCACCACAAAACTCCAATGAACCACCCGTCGGCTGCACGAGGTGCCACGCGTGTTCAAGGCACAAGCAAAACACCATCCACCAACAAAATTCTTCCCAATCGGATCGGAAAACCACAAACAAACTCCAACAACCACCAACAAATCACTCGTCAATGATAGAAAGAGTGATAAAGAGAGGAGACAATAGAGAAGGAATTGATTAGGATTTTGGGAGTGAAATTGGGTGGGTGAATGGTATGGTATGGGGTGTGTATATAGATTAAAGGGGTGTTTAATAGGTATTTTTATGTAAAAATGCATTTTAGAATAGTAAATTGATGTGAAATGTGTGGTTGAGAAATAAAGAAAAGTTTTTGATTTACGTGTAATATTATTTTAATAAAGAATGCGTGGTTGAAAAGAAGAGGAGGAAAAATGCATTTTGGAAAAAATGGCTACCAAATGAGGGCTAATATAATTTTTTAATATTATTATTATTATTTAAAAGATGAATTATCACCTAATTTTTTAATAAAAAATTTTAATTTGATTTTGTAATTAAGAAGTTTAAAATCATGTGAATATAATTTAAACTTTTATGTTCTCACGGCTTTGTAATTTTTTACCGAACTTCTTTTCTTGTTAAAAATTATTACATTGTAATGCTATAAAAGCACAGCACGTGGATCATGGAGTTGATCTTGTAATTTATGACAAAATTTATAGATTATTTATATATAATGTAAATAAATCATCTCATAAATTCTTTACAAGCTGAGGCTAATGTTTTTGGAGTTTTTGAGATGAGAACCATATTTGTAAACCAATTTAGCCCCTATTTAACAATTTTTTTTTAAATGTTATAAAATAATTAAACTTCATTTTAATTACACATTTCACTGAACCACAACTTTATCTAGGGCTGGAGTTTTCAGATCGAATTGGACCTGACCCACCTGAACTGAACCAAACTGACTGGTTCTTTTTAGGAAAAAATTCAAAAGTCAGGTGTTAAGTATGACAAATATAATTTCAGCGTCAAGTTTCAAAATACAAAACTCAAGTATTAGTTAATTAATTAAAAATATTTATTAATTAAATTTAATAAGGTCACAAATATACAATTAATGGTCACATATACATAATTATATGTTACAACTTTTTTACTGGTCACATATTATCAAATTAATTGGTCACAGATTATTTCAAAGTCACAAATCAAAAATTTTATAGGTCACATATTATTTTGATATCATAAACAAAAAATTTTATTGGTCACAGTTGATTCCAATGGTCATAAGTCAAAAAAATTACAAGTCGCAATTTATCATCAATCACAAATTTTTAGATTTATTGTTCACAAGTTATTGAATTTTAAAGTCAAAGTTTACTAATTAGTCGCAAAGAACCAAATCGTTGATCACATATACCAAACACTCCACCGTCAATCCAAATTCACCACCAAATACTTGGTCACAAATTAATTAAATAGTCGGTCACAATCACTATCCCACCTCACCTCGCCAAAACACCACCATGATCATGGCCAACAACAAAAACGACCACCGTCACACAGTCACTGCCTATACAATATTGCCACAACCACCGCCAGCAACAAAAATGACCATAACCTCACGACAGGTCTCTTCCGATGGTGATGTCGCTTTGCAGGCGATTCAACATCCCAAACCGCCAGATCCACCACGCAACCAAACAAACCACCAACGACCAAAAAAACCAAGCAGAGTCGCAGGCAGCGATGTTTACAGCACCGCCATCCCCAGTAATGGATGGAGCGCTTCTGTGAGAAGGGAAAACGTGCAGCAGCGTACAAACCTACACAAATCAAGAAGATTTCAACAACCATTTCGTGTACTGATCGTCGCGGTTGCGCTTTTGCTAGTAGAGGCTCCGATCTCTTAATTACAGCAGCATCATGGTGCTATTTACATAGTGACGATGAGTGCTTCAGCGACGACAATGACAAACAGAGAGGAGGACATGAGAGGAAGAATGAGTGAGAAGAATGAAATAATAGGGTTTGTAATTGAATTGTATAGAAATATTTAATTATTATGTTAATACTTGATTTGAGAATAATGAAACTTTAACCTTGATTTTTGAATTGTAATAGTTAAACAACTGGTTTTATGTAATTTCCTCTTCTGTTTAAGTTAAATATCCGAATGAGTACTTGAATCGAGAACCGACGAATTTAGTTTGATTCTCAATTTTAGATCAAAAATTAAAGAATCGAATAAGAACCAAATCTCTTCAAATTTTTTTAAATTTATTTATCTTAAGCCAAATTATTTTTTTTCTAAACAAATTGGCTAACTAATTAATTTAGTCCAAACCTAAAATATGATTTTCCTATTTCTAATTTTCAGCCAAAATCCAACTTAATCAAATTGACTTAAATTTTATCTAAATTTATTATTTTACCGTAGTGTTGTTTCTACAGTTCTGGAAAAATCGAATTGGAAGCTCGACTACACCTCTATTCATTATTGTGATCTCGCTATCTTCCAATTATTGTAATTTTAACAACCAAATGTATGAAGAGCTTAATTGGCATAACTTTTACTTTTGTTTCTCATAAAAAAATATTTAGAGGAAGTTATCATAATTTTTGTTTGTAAACTAATATTTAAAAGTAAGTCATTTCGGAAGTAGTTTTAGAAAAAGTCACATTGAACAAATTTTCTTTAAAAGCTTTTTTTAAGTACCAAAACCACCATAACAAAAATTCAAATGGATCCAAAAGGAATTTTTGAGACTAACTTTTGGGTCTCAAAAATTCCTTTTGACTTTTCAACAGTCGTACCAATAGGTACGAAGAACTCAACAAAGAAAAGCGTAAAAGATATATAAAATTGGAATATTTTATTTTGTTAGAGTTAAGATTGATCATATCATTATAGTTCAATTAATGAAGCATTGTAAATGTTAAAAGATTTAATTATTATATAAAATCTAGGAACCGAACCAAACCGAATGAAACTGAACTTGAACGGTGCCATAATTAAATTTGAACCCGATGATTCCATTTACTAAATTTTCAAAAATTCGGGTTCAATTCGATTCTCTTTAGAACCGAACCAGATCGGACCATATCCAACCAGAAGACTTTATCCACTTTTTGACTCACATTTCATGAAACCCACCAATTTATAGTCATAAAAGATTTTAACATCGGACAGGGGCTTAAGCGCACCAATTGTCTCAAAAATAATAAATGGAAAAAACTTTAGAGGTAATTAAATGATGTCTTTCACATGTTTAATTTTTCTTCCTTTTTTGTCATAAATCAATATAAACATCTCTCATCTCTGTGCACGGCTATCCTTGCTTGCAGGTAAAAACAAATTTAAGATGCAAGAACTAATGAGGTAGAGACTATGAAATTCCATCATCTAAAGCAAATAGAATGCTCATACACGGCTCAATATATTCACAATATCTCATAATACATCTCCCTTTTCTTTTTCTTCTTTCAATAATTGAATCACTCCGCAATGAAGTATCAATTCAATTGAGTTGAACGGACCTTTTCCACAATAGATTAAAGAAGGGATGAGAAAATGAGTGTAACTCACAATTGCCTTCAATTGAAACCTCCACAATAGAAAATTCCTCAAAAGTGATACGGAATTGACTTTTACAGTTAAAAGATAAAACAGTTTTCTATGATTCAACAAATATATTATTTGAGATATACTACTCCACTAGTGCTAAAGGTCTTGAATGATTTTTTTTTTTTTTGGATTTACTACGGGAACAGGGGGCTGACCGCCCCCCTGACCGAACCCCACAAATAGGGGGAGGTCCCATTTTTTTGGCGAGCCCCACTCCCATTTGTGGGGCTTCTATCAAGGAGGCGATCAGCCTCCCTACTACAGAAGCTTTATTCCTTTTTTTATTACAAGAAATTTAAATAAATATAAAAATGATCTTGATTTCTAGAAATATTACTTTCTATGAAACTAAAATTAAAAA